AGTCCGGAATGGTCAAACTGGTCAAAGAACTGCAGCCACGAAAGGCTGCTTGTCCAATCTTGGTCAGAGAGGTGGGAAACGTCACACCCCCAATCATGTGGCAGTGTACAAAGGCTTCTTCTTGAATTCTTGTCGTGCCTTCCGGAATGTTTACCATGAAAAGGGCTTGGGAACTGGTAAGATTGTTGCTGGTTAAATTGTGGCAGCCAGCATCGTTCTTTCCTGAGCACTCTATTGAGCGGACTGTGAAGCACACTTGCAAAACTGCATCTTCAGAAAGCCCTACTCTCATGAGTGTCTCATCATCATCAATCAGCTTAGTTGTACCGATCACCAATTCGACCAAGGTCATCTTCTTTATACACTCATCTTTCCATTCTCGCATTCCTTTGAGCTGTCTCTTGAGCTCGCCGATGGTCATGTCCGGGGCTGCTTCAAGTATGGTAAAATCCCCACTCATCTGCTGCACTGGAATGTTCATCATTGTAGCTCAGGAATGTTCAGGAATTTGCATGCAACCTTTGGCAAGTGAAAGCAAGCGGCTTCAGCCTGCGCCATGATCAAGGATATTGCTAGATGCTCGAGGTGATTCACTGTTAGTCGTGCTCTTCGAATCGCTGCAACAAGTAATTACATGCGTCCAAACACAATGCGAAAATTGAGAAACTGCACAGAACACCTTCATGGTTTGGAGCCTTTGACTCGGTTCTGTGGACCGAAGGCATCGATCATTTTCTTCAGACTGTCCACCCCATTGAGCAGTCCTCAACTGCCTAATGACTTGTCCTCTGCCGAGGGATGTCAATTCAAAAACCTTAGCTGTGCACCTCAGCAGCTTTTCCTTCACCGCAGCTTCACTCCCTTCACCGCAGCACCAAAACCGCGTTGACGCACGCACCGCGTTGACGCACGGCTGCACCGCCCCGCCTGGGCCTTTCGTTCGGAGAGCCACTCGCCCCACAGGCCGTTGCTCGTGACGAAGCCCGCCGACTGCGGCGACGCCACGTGCGGAGGCGAGAAGTGCATCGTTGACCGAAACATCCGGGCATGGCCCGGCTCGGTTCAGAAAAGACTCTCTGACCAGCTGGAAGGTCAAAGATCTTTTAGTCTTGGGAGTCTTGGGTGTGGGTGTGGTTTGATTTCAACAGGCCAACACAAATCAGGGCGATGCAAACTGGGGGGGGCCTCCGAACATAGAACCACCAAAACATTCTGCCCCGCTAAGTTGTGGTGACCAAGTGAAATCATATTGAGTGACCAAGTTGTGGTTCTGTTGCGCTCCAAAAAGCACCGGCCCCTGTCAAGCGAACCTCGAGAGGTCCGTCAGCCCTGAGACTGGACGGCGCCATCCAATGGCGAGTGGAGTCATGGTACCGGGACCCCTTGATCCCTGGTAGGTTGACCTCCCCAGCAATCCATTCGGTTCGGTTTGGGAACGGTGTCAGGGTGCCATGAGCCACAGCCAAGATCGACCACGCACCATCTTCCATCACTTCCCGCTCATCCCCCAAGGCGAACGTGCAGATCAAATCTCCACAGTCTGGCTGTCTAAACAGAACTGCCGGGGCAGTTAGTTGTTTTCGCAATGGACAGTGAGTTAAGATCCCCCAAAGAACATCCAAGAGAGGTTAAGCGACCATATAGGACCATTCTGGGGTATCCATGGGATAGTCTATAAGGTTCTTCAACCTCTGTTGGATCCCTAAACGTGAAGGAACTTAACTCATGAATAGATCACTCAAATCACGTCAGGGTGCTGAACGAACGGAGGAAGGAGGGAAGGAGTGCCCCGAACGTCATATCCACTCGCTGGATCAGCTAAGAACATCGAAAAACCGTCCCTTTGTGACTCCTGCAGTATCATCCTTTGGAGATCTTTGGAGAGTCCTTAAATTCCATCCGCACGTTTTTGGAGATCTTGCCGCCCAAGACCGAGCGAGGTGGTCTTCTGCGCACGCCTGACCAAATTGAAATAAAGCGGGATCCTTAGAAAAAAACCATGGGGCTACGGGCCATGACACTGGGCTACCTGGCTTGACCAGAGACTGGCTGAACAGAATGGACGAACAGACTTGTGGGAGGTCCACCATGGGGTCAAACCTACCTGGGTGAGTGAAAGGGGCATCTGGGTGCCATCACCACCACAGAAGCATCAGGACCGACACGCACGCCAGACCGTGCTGCCTCGGGCATTTGGCCAAACAAACCCTTGGCCAAAACGCTTGAGGCCTGTTTCCATGAAATGACATATTGAGCGATTTGTTGATAGATCTGCAACTGGATCTATTGGTCTATGAGTCTCTGACTGTCTTGCGACAAAATAAGGCCGATGTTGGGAGAGGTTGTTCTGCATTCACGCAAACAAAAGCTCAAACATCGCAGTTCGTGCAACCATGAGCTCAATACACATAAAAGCGCGTGACATGAACGATCCAATTTGAACAACACACAAACACAAAAACAAACTCATAATCATCATGAAGCTGTATGCCAGGACCATCCAATGAATCCAATGGGTGTCCTGGCTGGATTACCCTACACTACCTCAGGATCTCCATTGGACACTCATTGGATGGTACAGGTTTATAGTTTCAATTGATACAGAAACCACTGCCACTTGGTGTATTGGTGCATTTCAGAGGGGATATCCTCAAGACTCAACAAACTCTTGGGGAGGAAAAACAGTTGTGTTTTCACAACCATTTCACCGGTTACACTTCCAGCTTACCGATTGAACTGGTGCATTACTAGCAGCTAAACGTGGCTCATGTGGAAGCACTGGGGAGACGATGCATTCGGGAATCAAAAATGCTATTCAATCCAACCAAGAGAAGAGATTCGCCCTGCTGATAACAAGTTGGATGTCCTTTCTGGATAACCAATCGTTTCGGAACGTATATAAAGCCCTCATGGTTTGCAACTCGGATTTCTCTAGGGTCAGGGTGGAAGATGCAACAATGGAAGATGCATCATCAGGAAAGACACGTATGCATCCACCACCTAACAAGCAGGAAAGCTATACAGGCTATACACCATTTACATGATTGCTAATTCGTGTTTGCCCTAGCCTTCAAAGACCCTGAAAAACATGGTTGACCTGGTGGTGTAGTGAAAAAAAATCCTTTGTAAAGCAATGGTTCTTGGGAATTCAAACCATTAAAACATCTTAAAACAATGCTTCTTCGATTCCTAGTGATTGGATTCTGAACCCATCCTCCAAGCCTTTTCCGCGACTCCGCCGACGTTTCCATCGACGCCAAGCGGCTGCAGGTAACTCGCGAAAGAGGCCCTGGCCCATAAAGCAAGCGCTCCGCGTGGGAATCCAGGGGAGCCACGTGTCCATGTTCGACAGCACCCACTGGCAGGCTCCTGGAGAAGGCTACGAGGAGCGAGGAAGCGACGACGTAGAAGAACACATAGGAGCTATTATGGATGGATGAGTAGTCATTTTATACAACCATGATGTAAAACCAGTCTAGTAACTTAGGGGAAGTTCTATAATGGCAGCTCAGAACTTTGACTGATTAATTCACATGATGAATCATACCCCACCAATGTGGATTTCAGTCACCCACTGCTACCATGGATGCTTTAATTTTCAGTCACCTGGAACGGGCGAAAAGGCATGGTCAACGGTGGGAACCGGTTCAGAACACCGTGCGGTGTTGGATCAATGGTCCAATGTTCTTGGGCAAAGTTCAGCATGGATTTACCATCCGAGTCATGGAGTAGATAATAGATAGAATGAAAAAACCATGAGCAAGGCAATCCCAAGCTCCAGGACTCAGCTGTCCAAAGCCTAGCTCCAGGGGTTCGGATTGTCCATGTGTCTAGCCATCTGTCTACTCCCAGATGACTAGAGACATACAAGTGCTCCGTGTTCCATCCACTCCATGAAGATCTTCCCCATCATTTGGTCATGATCCGCTCAGGCGCCAGCGCCGGACTCGATGACCGTTTTGATGCGCAGGGCAGGAACCAAAGGACCACTCAACGAAGTACAGTCTTTTTCCATCATGGTCTTTAGACCCTAGGGCTCCAGTCTTTTTTTCCATTATTTTTTCCATCATTGTCTTTAGACCCTAGGGCTCCATTCGCTTTGTCCATTATTTTTCCATCATTGTCTTTTAGACAGGCTCCAGTTTTTTCAATATTTGTCCATCATTGTGTTTTTCCATCATTGTCGTTTAGACCCTAGGGCTCCTGTCTTAGTTTCCATTCTTTTTCCATCATTGTTTTTGTCCATCGTTGTCTTTTAGACCCTAGGGCTCCAGTCTTTTTCCATTGTTTTTCCATCATTGTCTTCAGACCCTAGGGCTCCAGTTTTTTTCAATTCAAGGTTCCATCATTGTCTTTTAGGCCCTAGGGCTCCAGCCTCTGTTCCATGCTTTTTCCAGCATTGTCTTTTATGTTCCATCATCATTGTCTCTAGACCCTAGGGCTCCAGTCGTTTTTTTCCAATATATATATATAAATATATATGTGTGTCCATCATTGTCTTTAGACCCTAGGGCTCCAGTCGTTTTTTCCATTCTTTTTCCATGATTGTCTTTAGACCCTAGGGCTCCAGTCGTTTTTTCCATTCTTTTTCCATGATTGTCTTTAGACCCTAGGGCTCCAGTCGTTTTTTCCATTCTTTTTCCATGATTGTCTTTAGACCCTAGGGCTCCAGTCGTTTTTTTCCATTCTTTTTCCATCATTGTCTTTAGACCCTAGGGCTCCA